CTTAAGTGTTTGAAGGAGTTGGGCGTTTGCTCAGGCCCATGATGGCCCCAAAAGTCCACCAAGATGGCCCCAAGAGCGCCCAAGAGGCCTCCGAGATGGCCCCCTGACGGCCCAAGAAACATTCAAGACGGCCGAGGAGACCTCCAAGATGCCCAAGCGGCCCAAGATGGCCTCCATCCAAGACGGCCCTGAAGCACCCCAAGAAGGCCCCAAGTCGGCCCAGAGAGGCCCCCAAGACGGCGTCCGGCGGCGTCAGACGAGCCAGGAACGCCCTCAGACGGCCAAAGAGCCTCCCAAGGAGCCTCCGAAGGCGCCCAAGAGGCCCAAGGAAGCCCCAAAGAGGCCTCCAAGAGGCCCCCAGGATGCTCCCAGGAAGCACCAAGAGTGCCCCAGGAGGTTCCAAGAGGCCTCGTTCTCCTCCTCATCCTCCCTCTCCTCGTCCCCGTCCTCCTCCTCCTCCTCCTCCTCCTCCTCCTCCTCCTCCTCCTCCTCCTCCTCCTCTGGGAGATCACGCAGTCCGACAGCTTAGCCGATATCTGTCTGGCCCCAACGTTCGGCCACACAGGCGATTCCGAAAGGCAGGGGACCACGGTGATTCGATTCGCTGCAGGCGTCCTCGACACTCCGAAGAAGCCTTCGGGCAACCTCGGCAAGGACAGCTGCTCTCAATGCTGCGCGCAACCGTTCGCCAATTTGGACGCCCGAAATGGGTACGGAAAAAATGGGCACAATGCCCAACAACAACTGTTGTCCCAAACCAACAGCGGCCGCTGTTGGGCAGGCGGCCTTCTGTCTCGAATGGACACAGGCCGCGGCGGCGCGGACAGCGAGCCCTGCTCAAAATGAACCAGAACTGACGAACCAACAACACACACCCATACCCATAGGGGGGTCGAAGAGGGCTATGGGTGCGTGTTGTCGGATGGGGGTCCCCGCTCGAACGGGAGCGTTCCCCAGGGTCCGACAACCCGCACCCACACCCATAGCCAGTCCTCCTCCCAACGACCCCCCTATGGGTATGGATGCGTGTTGTCCGTTCGTCGTTTCGTTCGTGCCGAGCCAAACTCCCAGGGAGCGGCCGGTGGTGCGCCGCCGGCGTCCTCGATCCGGCCGCGCGCGCGCGACAGGCGGCCAGCCCCGCCCGCGAAAAAGAAACAGCCACGAAAAGGAGTACGGCAAGAATGGGTACCATGCCCAGCAGCAGCTCCTGCGCATTTTGAGCAGGGCTCGCGCTGTCCGCGCCTCCGCGGCCTGTGTCCGTTTGAGACAGACGGCGTCGCCTGCCCAACGGCGGCCGCCCTTGGTCTGGGACAGCATCTGCTGTCGGGCACTGTGCCCAACGTTTCCGTACCCATCTCGGGCGTCCAAAGCTTACCAGCCTCGAACGTATCCCTATTCCTAAGATTGACACGCCAAAAGGCGATGACAATCTTAGGGATTCGCCCTCAAAAAATAAGTGAATCCCTGAGATTGGCATCGTGATGAGGAGGTGCCCAGCATAGGGATGGGGATATGTTCCAGGCAGGTAAAAAGCGGCAGCGGCGGCGGGGAGGCCGGGCGCGCGAGCAGCGCGCGCGCGCCCAGGCTGCTCTGGCGGCGCCGAACTTCCGCTCGCCGGGCGCCTCGCCCCACCACTCCTCGCGGGGGCGGGCGGGCGAGGAGGGCTCCAAGGTGGCCCCGGATGGTGATGAAGAGGGACGCACAGAGACTTGCCAGCACGATATGTTCTCCTTGTGACCGCAGGAGTTCTTCCGAACCGCAGAGCCACACAAAATTATTCACTGCGTGGAGCTCCCCATGTGTGCATCTATTTGCATGGGCTGGGTGTGAGTGAGTCTGAGTATGAATATGATGAGTACGAGTCTGAGCACAAGTGAGTCTGGGACATCCTCGCAATCTGCCCCCATGGGGTGCGAAAGCCAGCGAGTCTGAGTATGAGCATAGTGAGTACGAGTCTAAGTCTGAATGGGTCTGAGTACGAGTGAGTTTGACTACGAGTGAATTGGAGGGTGGGTGGGACTGAGTGTGAGTGATTCTGAGCGTGAGTAAATCTGAATGTGAGTGCGTCTGAGTATGAGTGTGATGGATATGAAACTGGCCCTGAGTGGGTCTGAGTACGAATGAGTCTGACTACGAATGAGTCTGAGGGTTGGTAGGTCTAAGTGTGAGTGAGTCTGAGTGTGCGTAAGTCTGGGTGTGAGTGAGTCTGAGTATGAGTATGATGAGTGCGAGTCTGAGTATGAGTGAGCCTGAGCACCAGTGAGTTTGAGCTGAAGTGAGTTTAGGACATCCTCGCAATCTGGGCCCTCTGGGAGTGCGGAAATCAGCGCCGCGCCATAGACATCCTCAGAATCTGCTTTGACAGCAGACGAGTCTGACCACCAAAACACGCGAACCGCTTGAAACGTCCTCGAAATCTGTCCCCCCTGGGTGCGAAAACCAGCGCCTCGCCTGAGACATCCTCAGAATCTGCTCCGAAAGCGGAAGATGTTCGCAACCAAAACAAGCAAACCGCCTGAGACATCCCCACCATTTGGGCGCGAACGGAGGCCGTGCAATACCCCTGGCGGCCCCCCATTAGGAGTGCTAAAACCAGCGCCTCGCCTCAGAATCTGCTCCGAAAGCGGAAGATGTTCGCAACCAAAACAAGCAAACCGCCTGAGACATCCCCACCATTTGGGCGCGAACGGAGGCCGTGCAATACCCCTGGCGATCCTCCCTTAGGAGTGCGAAAACCAGCAAACCGCTCGAGACATCCTCAGAATCTGCTCCGAAAACGGAGGATGTTCGCAACCAAAACAAGCAAACCGGCTGAGACATCCCCACCATTTAGGCGCGAACGGAGGCCGTGCAGTGCCCCTGGCGGCTCCCCCTGAGGAGTGCTAAAACCAGCAAACCGCTCGAGACATCCTCATCATCTGCTGCTCATCATCATCATCATCATCATCATCATCATCATCATCATCATCATCATCATCATCATCATCATCATCAGCAGCAGCAGCAGCAGCAGCAGCAGCAGCAGCAGCAGCATCTTCTTCATCATCATCATCATCATCAATAACAGCATAAACATCAACATCTTCATCATCATCATCAGCATCATCAACAACAACATCTTCATCATCATCATACTCACCCATCATTCACCATCACCATCATACTCACATCATACATGGCATGGTATGGTCATCATCATGACAATCATCATCATTGTCTAGTGCCCCTCCACCCCGCCCCTCGGTCCAGCCGCAGAGGGCTCTTGTGCAGCACTGCGAAGTTCCTGTCCCGCACGCGGCCTGCGGCCACGATCGCAGGCCGAGGCGGCCAACTCCGGTGTCTGGCAGCGGCATCGAGATCGGACGCCATGGCCCCTGACAGCCCTCAGATCCGGGCCCCGCGCACCACAAGTCGCGACGGCCCCTTGGTCAACACTGTCGGCCTTCAGACGCCGCTTCCTGGCCCTGGGACCGTCAAACACCGGGTCGGGATGAGAAGCCGATCACCAGGGAAAAAGTGTCGGGATCCCCAGGGGCCCGCGTCGCGTAAAAACCGCGTCGTCGGAGGAGAGGAGAGCGTCGGGTTCAGCTTGGAGCTCGAAGTGTCGCCCTGCCCGCCATGCTGCTCCGTTCTGGAGCGCAGAGGGCGGAGGAGCCACCCTCACAACACACACTCCTGCAATCGAGGCCCTTCGGCAAAAAGAGGACTGTTCTGTAAACGTCGGTCATTCGGGTCGGGGCTAAGGAGAAGGGAAGCAATAGCCAGACCAAGGAGACGGGGGCGATCTTGGCTTGCTTGGGGATTTCCGCGGGGGGGGAATCCAAAGCCAACCCCGGGGAATCCCGCCATCTTGGTTCTGATAGAAGCTCACTGCCCTCTCAGGGATGCTGCCCTTCTCTTGGTGAAGAGTCGGAGGCCTCAGTGTGGGAAGACTACTCCCCACCACCCATGGTCGGCGTTACATGTGAAAAGAAGGGCGGTGGTAACAAGGCGGCGGATGAAAGAACGTCCGAAAATCGCCAGTGGTATTCCTTACGTCTGGCCTCGAATGAAAATGACCAGCTTCCGAACTGATGGAAAGGGAACTCCGCGATGCTAGAACTGGCCAGAGATAAGCTGGAAAACGACGAAGACGAGGATGACGCTTCCTCTATCCTTTCTCCTCCGCTTCCTCCCTCCATCATTCATCCCCCTTTGCGCGGTCATCCGGATGAACCAGCTGAGTAGTGTCCTCGTGCTCTTCCCCTTCCTCCTCCTCGTCCTCCTGCTCCGTTTCATCCTCCTCCTGCACCTCCTCCTCCTCCTTATTTTCCTCCTCCTCCTCCTCCTCCTCCTCCTCCTCCTCCTCCTCCTCCTTCTGGTCATCCTCCTCTGTTCCTCTTTTTCTTCCCCTACTCGTGCCCGTCCTCCTCCTCCCGCTCCAACTCCACCTCCTCCTCCTCCTCTTCCTCCTCCTTTCCTCCTCCTCCTCCTCGTCCTCGTCCTCATCATCATCATCATCATCATCATCATCATCATCAGCAGCAGCAGCAGCAGCATCATCATCATCAGCAGCAGCATCGTCGTCATCATCACCATCGTCATCATCAGCATCATCGTACTCAGTATCAGCATCATCCTCATCATCAGCATCATCATCACCAGCATCATCACCATCACCATCATCATCATCATCCTCTTCCTCCGCTTCCTCCTCCTCCTCCACCTGGTAATCCTCCGATGTTCCTCTTTACATTCCCCTATCCGTGCCCCTCCTCCTCATCATCATCCTCATCATCATCACCAGCATCATCATCAGAATCATCATCATCATCCTCATCATCAGCATCATCATCAGCAGCAGCATCATCACCATCATCACCATCATCATCCACAGGTTATTATTCCTCCTCCTCCTCCTCTTCTTCCTCCTCCTCCTCATCCTCCGCTTCCTCTTGCTCGTTGTCCTCCTGGCAACCGGCGCTGCCTCCAGATCCGTATATCTCCTGGGCCATGCTTCCCTCGGCCGGAGGCGATCGCGCATGGAGGTCATAGAACGGGACGCCGCGCGGAGAAAGGTGAAGGGTGGGAGGAGGTGGAGGGGGAGGAGGGGGAGGACGGTGGGCCCAGGGGAGGAGGGGGAGGAGGAGGAGCAGGAGGAGGGGGAGGACGAGGAAGAAAGGACAGTGGTGGAGGAGGGGGAGGAGGGGGGGCCCAGGACGAACACCGAATTCAAAAATCGGCACCGTTGGCCGCTCCCGGTATCGCAACTGACTCCCCTGCTAGTGCTGGCACTGGCGGAGTCTTCGAGTTCCTCCCCGAGCTGCCGAGGTTTCACCTGGTGCCCAGTCGGTGGCCGGTCGCGGGCGCCTCGTGGGAGCCCCGTGGGCGCTGAGTGGGGTCCGCCACGGCAGTTTCGCCTGTGGCCTGCCGTGGGCGCCTCGCGGGCGCCCCAGAAGCTGAGTGTGTGTCCGCCAGGGCTTCGCCCGGGTGGCCGCCTCGTGGCCGCCTCGTGGGCTCACCGGGCGCCGGCCGGGTCCGCCGATGTTCCGCGCTCGGTGGCCGCCCGTTGGCAGCCACGCGGGGTCTGCGGTAGCGTCTCCGTGCCGAAGAGCAGCGGGGTCCACCACCCCAGGAGGCCACGAGAGGCTCACGAGGCCCCCCAAGAGGCCCCAGGAGGCCCCCCAAGAGGCCCCAGGAGGCCCCCCAGGAGGCCCCCAAGGTATGACCCACAACCCAGGCACGGTGGCGGGATGGGCCGAAGGTCAGTAGATCCGCCGCCCCCTGCTTGCAGGGGTGCACGGCGTGCTGGACGTTTCAGGTTTTGGTTTTGGTTCTTTTTCCAAAAGAACAACTCCCCAGTGGGCTCCGGCCCGTCCCGCCACCGTGCCCAAAAACGGCCGTTTCGCTCGGGACATCCTCAAAAAATCGCGAAGATGGCCCAAGATGGCCTCCAAGTCCGCCCGAGATGGTCCAAGACGGCCTCCAAAACGGCCCAAGAGAGTCCAAGACGGCCCAAGACGGCCCAAGAGGCCCCCCAGAGGCCTCCCAGACGGCCCAAGAGGCCTCCAAGAGGTCCTCCAGGAGAGTCCGAAGAGGCCAAAATCATTGATTTTCCCTTGGTTTTTGAAGGATTTTGGCATTTGCGCCTTTTCGGCTCTCCGACGGCTCAAGACGGCCCAAGAAGCCCCCAAGATCGCCCAAGAGGCCCCCAAGAGAGCCCCCTGATGGCCCAAGTGGCCTCCAAGATGGCCCCTAGAGGGCCCCAAGAGGGCCCAAGAGGCCTCCAACACGCCCAAGATGGCCTCCAAGACGCCCAAGATGGCCTCCAAGACGGCCCTGGAGCGCCCCAAGAGGGTCCCCCGTTGGCCCAGAAAGGCCCCCAAAACGGCTCCCGACGGCGTCAGACGTGCCAGGAACCCACCAAGATGGCCGAAGTTGGCTCGAAGCTGGCCCAAAAGGGCCCAAGAGGCCCCCAAGAGGGCCTCCAGGAAGGCCAAAAGATGCCAAAATCACTGATTTTCCCAAGGTTTTTGATGGATTTGGGCATTTCCCTTTTTTCGGCCTTCCGACGGCCCGAGACGGCCCAAGAGCCCCCAAAGATCGCCGAAAGATCGCCCAAGAGGCCTCCAAGACGGCGACGATGACCATCAAGACGCTCACGTGTTCCCCGAAGGCTTTCCAAACCGATTCGGGGAACACATGGTCCGATGGCTTGGCAGGCCTGGCCTCAACGTTCGGCCACATAGGCGCTTCCACAAAGGCAGGGGGCGGCGGTGATTCGCCGTAGGCGTCTTCGATCCGCCGCCCCCTGCTTGCAGGGGTGCACGGCGTGCTGGATGATTCAGGTTTTGGTTTTGGTTCTTTTTCTAAAAGAACTCCCCAGTGGGCTTCGGCCCGTCCCGCCGGCCACCCGCAAATTTCGGAAAACCCATCCCTCAATGCCCAAAAACGGCCGTTTCGCTCGGGACATCCTCAAAAAATCGCGAAGATGGCCCAAGATGGCCTCCAAGTCCGCCCGAGATGGTCCAAGACGGCCTCCAAAACGGCCCAAGAGAGTCCAAGACGGCCCAAGACGGCCCAAGAGGCCCCCCAGAGGCCTCCCAGACGGCCCAAGAGGCCTCCAAGAGGTCCTCCAGGAGAGTCCGAAGAGGCCAAAATCATTGATTTTCCCTTGGTTTTTGAAGGATTTTGGCATTTGCGCCTTTTCGGCTCTCCGACGGCTCAAGACGGCCCAAGAAGCCCCCAAGATCGCCCAAGAGGCCCCCAAGAGAGCCCCATGATGGCCCAAGTGGCCTCCAAGATGGCCCCTAGAGGGCCCCAAGAGGGCCCAAGAGGCCTCCAACACGCCCAAGATGGCCTCCCAGACGCCCAAGATGGCCTCCAAGACGGCCCTGGAGCATTCCAAGCGGGCCCCAAGTCGGCCCATAGAGGCCCCCCAAACGGCTTCCGACGGCTTCAGACGTGCCAGGAACCCACCAAGATGGCCGAAGTTGGCTCGAAGCTGGCCCGAGACGGCCCAAAAAGCCCCAAAGATCGCCCAAAGCTTGCCCAAGAGGCCTCCAAGACGGCCAAGATGACCTTCAAGATGCCCACGTGTTCCCCGAAGGCTTTCCAAACCGATTCGGGGAACACGTGGTCCGATAGCTTGGCAGGTCTGGCCTCAACGTTCGGCCACATAGGCGCTTCCAAAAAGGCAGGGGGCGGCGGTGATTCGCCGTAGGCGTCTTCGATCCGCCGCCCCCTGCTTGCAGGGGTGCACGGCGTGCTGGACGATTCAGTTTTGGTTTTGGTTCTTTTTCTAAAAGAATCGAAGACGCCTACGGCGAATCACCGCCGCCCCCTGCCTTTTTGGAAGCGCCTATGTGGCCGAACGTTGAGGCCAGACCTGCCAAGCTATCGGACCACGTGTTCCCCGAATCGGTTTGGAAAGCCTTCGGGGAACACGTGGGCATCTTGAAGGTCATCTTGGCCGTCTTGGAGGCCTCTTGGGCAAGCTTTGGGCGATCTTTGGGGCTTTTTGGGCCGTCTCGGGCCAGCTTCGAGCCAACTTCGGCCATCTTGGTGGGTTCCTGGCACGTCTGAAGCCGTCGGAAGCCGTTTGGGGGGCCTCTATGGGCCGACTTGGGGCCCGCTTGGAATGCTCCAGGGCCGTCTTGGAGGCCATCTTGGGCGTCTTGGAGGCCATCTTGGGCGTGTTGGAGGCCTCTTGGGCCCTCTTGGGGCCCTCTAGGGGCCATCTTGGAGGCCACTTGGGCCATCATGGGGCTCTCTTGGGGGCCTCTTGGGCGATCTTGGGGGCTTCTTGGGCCGTCTTGAGCCGTCGGAGAGCCGAAAAGGCGCAAATGCCAAAATCCTTCAAAAACCAAGGGAAAATCAATGATTTTGGCCTCTTCGGACTCTCCTGGAGGACCTCTTGGAGGCCTCTTGGGCCGTCTGGGAGGCCTCTGGGGGGCCTCTTGGGCCGTCTTGGGCCGTCTTGGACTCTCTTGGGCCGTTTTGGAGGCCGTCTTGGACCATCTCGGGCGGACTTGGAGGCCATCTTGGGCCATCTTCGCGATTTTTTGAGGATGTCCCGAGCGAAACGGCCGTTTTTGGGCATTGACAGACGCATTTTGGGAAATTTGCGGGTGGCCGGCGGGACGGGCCGAAGCCCACTGGGGAGTTCTTTTAGAAAAAGAACCAAAACCAAAACCTGAATCATCCAGCACGCCGTGCACCCCTGCAAGCAGGGGGCGGCGGACTCCCCAATGGGCTTCGGCCCGTCCCGCCGGCCACCCGCGAATCTCCCAAAATCCGTCTGTCAATGCCCAAAAACGGCCGTTTCGCTCGGGACATCCTCAAAAAATCGCGAAGATGGCCCAAGATGGCCTCCAAGTCCGCCCGAGATGGTCCAAGACGGCCTCCAAAACGGCCCAAGAGAGTCCAAGACGGCCCAAGACGGCCCAAGAGGCCCCCCAGAGGCCTCCCAGACGGCCCAAGAGGCCTCCAAGAGGTCCTCCAGGAGAGTCCGAAGAGGCCAAAATCATTGATTTTCCCTTGGTTTTTGAAGGATTTTGGCATTTGCGCCTTTTCGGCTCTCCGACGGCTCAAGACGGCCCAAGAAGCCCCCAAGATCGCCCAAGAGGCCCCCAAGAGAGCCCCATGATGGCCCAAGTGGCCTCCAAGATGGCCCCTAGAGGGCCCCAAGAGGGCCCAAGAGGCCTCCAACACGCCCAAGATGGCCTCCCAGACGCCCAAGATGGCCTCCAAGACGGCCCTGGAGCATTCCAAGCGGGCCCCAAGTCGGCCCATAGAGGCCCCCCAAACGGCTTCCGACGGCTTCAGACGTGCCAGGAACCCACCAAGATGGCCGAAGTTGGCTCGAAGCTGGCCCGAGACGGCCCAAAAAGCTCCAAAGATCGCCCAAAGCTTGCCCAAGAGGCCTCCAAGACGGCCAAGATGACCTTCAAGATGCCCACGTGTTCCCCGAAGGCTTTCCAAACCGATTCGGGGAACACGTGGTCCGATAGCTTGGCAGGTCTGGCCTCAACGTTCGGCCACATAGGCGCTTCCAAACAGGCAGGGGGCGGCGGTGATTCGCCGTAGGCGTCTTCGATCCGCCGCCCCCTGTGGTCTTGCCACAGGGGTGCACGGCGTGCTGGATGTTTCAGGTTTTGGTTTTGGTTCTTTTTCTAAAAGAACTCCCCAATGGGCTTCGGCCCGTCCCGCCGGCCACCCGTAATTTTCCCAAAATCCGTCTGTCAATGCCTTTGTTGCCCCAACTTGGCCCAAGATGGCCTCCAAGACGGCCAAGATGGCCCAAGATGGCCTCCAAGATGCCTCCCAGACGGCCAAGATGGCCTCCAAGACGGGTAAGATGGCTCCAAGATGCCTCCAAGACGGCCCAAGATGCCCTCCAAGACGGCCAAGATGGCCCCAAGATGCCTCCAAGATGGCCCAAGAGGCCTCCAAGACGTTCTCCAGGAGAGCCCGAAGAGGCCAAAATCATTGGTTTTCCTTAGGTTTTTGAAGGTTTTTT